GCTTGGTACGCCATGTCACTTGAGGCGGGAACCAGCCAACGCTGAAACCTGAAACCGCCCTCAGCGGTCAAGAAACCGCCCTCAGCGTTGAAATTGGGGCAGGGGACCAGACTATGACGACCAGAATTAAAACGCCAATGACTTGAAGCGACGCTTTTCACAAGTTTGTCTTGAACTGTATATTATAGTAGCATACACCCGTGGTGGTGATTCTAGACGAAAAGTCGGGTACGCAAACTTGAAAGACAAAATACGTAATTAGGAATAAGTATTTTGAGCCTGTTACGCATTTCAGTTGCTGGGTCAAAATATCCAACTTGCACTCGGAGAAACTTTCTTGGAAAAAAAAAAAAAACAGATCAAAAACAGCTCTTTCTACGCTTCCCAACAGAAGAAAACGACCGTTATTCTTTTTTTTTTGTATTCCGTCCAGCTTATAATGTGTCATATAACAATGAGTGTGAATTGACATAGTGTTGAACGGCATTATACAATATGACGGCCAGTCAATGCTCAGATCACAAAAAATATAAAATGAATGAAAAAACTGTGCAGTTGAATATTTGTTGTGAAAATTCAGTGTTCCAACTCCAATTTGGGCATAAGGACCTTGAGTGGTTGTCTCATTGGCTCTATGTTGGCTAATAACCTAAGTTATGGCGACGACATTTGTGTTATTGCGCCCTCTTAGAAAAATGATCGGTAAATGTGAACGTTACGCTGCTGAACAATACATTATTTAAAACTATAATAAGATGAAATCTTGCTTTGTGTGATCTCGCATTTCTGTATTTCATCGTATTGTAGCAGTATTTTTTGAAATGTGCTAGTATCTCGTTCTGTATTCAGTCTTCATTGTTCAACTTGAATGTAACCATTTTAACTATTGTAAATGTACAACATTGCCTCAACAAAGAGAAAGTGTAGAATATTTGCATACTACCCTGTAGCTGCCTGGTATTGTTTTGTAAGTTTCAAGACCAGTAAGAGAGACATTTCAATCTCAGAATAAACTGCACTTTCAATGTTACAGCAAGTCTCACAAGTATTGGGGCTGCAAGTTAGCAAACTTGCTCACTCTTTCGCCAACAACTTTGGTTTTCACTAAAGCAGATGACCTACAATTTGAATATTACCCTTCATTCTGTGACCATCAAATCCTCGTAATATCTAAAAAGCAGTGTAATAAGTTTATAAGGTTTCACTGGGTTGAAAAGAATGCAAAATTGTTTGAGTTGGTCAAATCTGCTTTGTCAAAACCAAAGTCGAGGTCCCTGAAGTGAAGTCGCTATTATAACAAGTGAATTATTGAGCAAGTTTGCTAACTGACCTAACAAATGTAATCATGAGAAAAATGATACAATCATGAATATTCATATTTTTATTACAAAACCCATTCAATTATTATTTACAGTATAAAATTGGTTTCTAAAAATGGTAATAATTTAGTCAAATTATTATAAAATAGAGAACAGCAATGTTCAATCTGATTTAGGTTTACTTGCATGAAAATCACTTTTATAACCAATCAGGAATCTTCTTTCTGTGTAAGTAAGCTTCATTCTGATTTGTTGAGAATCACACCAGAGAATACTGTTCCATCAAAAACTTAAATTAACAAATATCAGAACCTTTTTTCAATTTACTGAAAATTCAGTTTTAAATTATAGTGTAATAAACAAATCAGTTTGTGTCTCAGATGTTACTTCTTATGTATTTTGAATTTAAACTAATTGTGAAACTCCCAATCTTGCCAACACCCATTTACTGTAAACTATTCAATTTTCATCTAAAGCAATATTCATGATTCAAGGATGAAGTTTTGCAAAAGTTACAGTGACTCAAGTGAAATGTTTATTACTACAACATGTTGTGTTATTCATAAAGATTGAAACCAGTTCAACTGTTAGCAGTGAAAAAAAAATTGTTAGCAGTGAAAATTTTAGTGATATTTAATCCACAGAAAATTCCTTAAATTTTCACTGGATTTTATTCTTCTGGTATATTTCCCCAGCAAAAATAACAAAATTTGATTCCCCATAACAAATTCTAAAGTATTTTTTGGGCCTGATTCACTATAATGTGTTAACCTGCTTCTATGGTGAATCAGTTTCTGTCGCCAAATATCACCAAGTTGACTAATACTGTATCACAATTTGTTGATAAATCTCCAAGAAAATAACTTATTTTGAAAAAATACTTGTAAAAGTAATACACAGAACATGTTAAAATCTCTCTGATTCACAAAGTAAGGGCAGCAACACTACAAAAGTTTTTTTTTTTTACTTGCAACAAATCACACACATCATTCAAATCAAATTACATACCTACATCTTAAATAGACCATTTTCGTTCACTTTGAGATCCCACGTTATGTGTGAAATAAAATGTAAAACAGGACAAAGGTCATACCATTGTAGTGAGATGCTACAAACAGAAGTAATTTTGGGTATTTTCACGCTAACTAATGTGTGATACACATTTGATGATGGTCAGTTTTATGACGTTCGATCCGTGTCTATCACGCAGAGATCCAGCAGTGTATGGGAAAATTGCCTATTAAAGAATCAGCGTATCTGGTACAAAACATTTTATGGGAAAAAACATATACATGTTTAAACCAAAACAAAACATATATGACTGTCATACATTAGCATAAATTAAACTAATTGAGCAATAAGCAGTGCATGGACCAGAGTAATGGAATGATTGTTACCATGGTAATGGGGATTAAATGTTGACAATTTAAAGACGTTTTTACATTCCCTCTAAAATATTCCAACTGAGATTGCTCAAATCTATAGTATATACAGTACAAATAGAATCGCTTTCAAATATTCTCTCTAAAAAATTTTACATAGAAAAGTTTACTATTATTTCTATTATAGAGTATGATTTAATCTGCTAGTTATTTTTAATCATTATAAAAATCTTTGTATTGAACAAAACAACATTAGCAATATATATTAAAGTTTTATTACCCATACTTTGATCGTCCCCTTTCAATTAATTGAGCATCATGTACCTCCAGTCTTAGTTGTTATTTGGGATTTATTATGGTGAAGATGATAACAATTTAGTTGATAACCAGTAACTATGTTAGGTTTCAGTATAAATTACGAGAGCCCTAACTTTTTGGCCAAGTTAAATTGAAAGGGATCTGAACTGAATTTTGCCAACAATACATTTTGTTGGGCCATGAGATGAGGTTTGTTTTTAGTTCATATTTTTATACCATGTACCATAATAATGAACCAAAACCTGCTTTTGTAACAGACCAGAAATATAACTGCTGAAACAAGTAACTGATATATGTCTTGTGTGTCTACTTGTATCATCAATGTCTTCCCAACCCTACAACACCAATCACAGTCAAAATCTCTGTGAAGAACGGAAAGGCACTGAAAAAAATAAAAATAAATAGTAAATACAATATGCAATGAAGTAGATGCTGGTTTAGGATATCATATTACAGGAAATATCGAAAGGGCAACATGCATACATTTCTTGATTTCATTTTTCTAGTTTCCATTCACCCAAGACAATTATGAATGGTGCCCTCTAGTGTAAGTGATTGTCATTTTAGACAGAAAACTCCTTACAGTAATTAATTATTTGATATATAA